ATTCCATTAAGAAGATCAACAAGGCTTAAAAATCTAAATTCCGAGAATGCTAATAACCTTTATACGTCTTGTTAGTTTGCTCTTATTGTTTCAGATCCCATGAATTATGAAGAAGTTGCTGGAAAAGAAGAATGGAAGAAAGCAATGGTGGAAGAAATGAAATCCATCAAAAAGAATGGTACATGGGAAATGATGGAGTTACCAAACAGAAAAAATGCAATTGGATTGAAGTGGATGTTCAAAACAAAGTTTGCAGCTGATGGTAGCCTACAAAAGCACAAAGCTCGTCTTGTGGAAAAAGGGTATGCACAACAATATGGTATTAATTTTGAAGAAACATTTTCTCCAGTAACTCGATTTGAGACAGTGAGGTTGGTTCTAGCATTGGCTGCACAGTTACAATGGGCAGTTTATCAATTTGATGTCAAGTCCGCATTCCTCAATGGAGACTTACAAGAAGAAGTCTATGTCACACAACCTGAAGGTTTCACAAAGGAAGGCGATGAAACAAAGGTGTACAACTGAAAAAGGCATTGTATGGCTTGAAGCAAGCCCCTCCAGCGTGGTATAGCAAGATTGATAGATACTTCCACAAAAATGGATACATAAAAAGTGAGAATGAACCCACCTTATATGTGAAGAAGGAAGGTAATGATTTCATTATTGTATGCCTTTATGTTGATGATATCATTTACACTAGTTCTTCACGTTCTCTTCTGGAAGAGTTTAAGTCTCAAATGATGAATGAGTTTGAGATGTCAGATATGGGTTTATACATTACTTTCTTGGCCTTCAAGTCCATCAAACTGGAGAGGGAATATTTCTTTCACAAAGGAAATATGCTAGAGACCTACTCAATAAATTTGGCATGCTTAATTGCAAGCATGCGGCTACTCCAATGAATATCAGTGAGAAATTGCAGCAGGTAAATGAAGTAGAATTGACAGATGCAAAGAGGTTCAGAAGCTTGGTTGGAGGTCTAATATATTTGACGTATACTAGACCCAATATTTCATATCATGTTGGTGTTATTTCTAGGTTTATGCAACAACCTTCAAAGGTACACTATGGGGCAGCAAAGAGATTCTTGTGGTACATTGCTGGACCTTTGGACTTTGGTATTTGGTACTCCAAAACTGATAATTTCAGATTGTGCGGGTACACAAATAGTGATGGGGTAAGTTTATTGGACGATAGACGGAGTATTTCGGCGAATGTTTTCACTCTAGGTTCAGGTGTGGTGACTAATGACTTAGAGTTCAAAGAAGCAAGTTACAGCATCATTGTCAACTTCAGAAGCTGAGTACATTGCAACAACTTCAGAAGTTTGTCAAGTCGTCTGGCTAAGGAGAGTGTTAACTGATCTTCAACAGGAGCAGAGAGGAGCAACAGAGATATTTTGCGACAATAAAACAACTATCTCCATGACAAAGAACCCAACATTCCACAGCAGGACAAAGCATATTGATATTCGTTATCATTTTATCCGTGATTTGGTAGCAAAGGAGGAAATATTATTGGAATATTGCAGCACACAAGAGCAGTTGGCTGATGTATTGACAAAGGCTTTATCGAAGGAGAAATTCTGTTATTTCAGAGGATTGTTTGGTGTCTGTAGTTTTGAATCAAGAGGGAATGTTAAAGAGTGATTCAAAATGATTGACTGAATTGGGACATGTGTAGTTTAGTAGAACTAGCATTAGTTGTTTATCTCTTTGCCTATATATCATGTGGGCATATTTTGTTATTTCTGTACTTCCAATTAATCTGAAATTAAACGCAGTTGCAGTTTTCCTTCTCTTTTTTTATTATTTTTAGATTTCTCTGTACTTTTTCTCCAACAAAGGGGGATTCGACATGTATTATTTATACCTTAGAAAGTAATTTTAATTATGCATAAACAATATAATTTGTCGTTAAAGGAGATTTAGATAAACCCCCAAACCCTTACTTGCTTGATATCATATTTAAAGAGATGAAGTTCATGAATAGTAATGATGTGTGGGAGTTCACACAACTTCCTAAAGGTCAAAAGGTGATTAATTGCAAATGAATTTACACAAGAAAAAAGCTTAATCTAGTATGTCTTCAATTGCGCGTTGTTATGGGAGATAAAGTTACACACCTTCTGGTCACGTATTTCACAATATTAAAGGTGTTCTTAAGCTATGTGATTATTGTGATTATATTTCTCGATTAATTTAACACTTGATATCATAACATATTACATGGATTACAAATTCTATTAATTGTTTAATATGAATAATATAAAATACTAAAAAAAATTAATATTTATCACGATTAAATCTTAAATGATTCGTAAGATCTCTTGCTCTGATACTAAGATGAAATAACAAATGATAACAAAAGATACAAAAATAAAATAATTTTAAATATTTTAAAATTTTAGTTAAGGAAATACATTTTTTTTTTAAATCCTACTAGGTACTTTCTCTCACATTAATATCTTGATCATATTTTATTTTTACTAAAATTCATATTTTCTCTTGTAATGGACAAGTAACGTATAATAAAAGTGAATAGTAAGAGTGAAAAGTAAAAATGAATAGTACTGGACAATTTATTTATTTTTTGCTTAAGTCATCGACGATCACTTAAAATTGAGCATATTGTACTTGGACACTTCAACTAAAATTTGTACATATTTAACACCTCTAACACTTCAAATTTGAATCACTTAAACACTTTTTACTATAGTTCACCTCAAATGGGCGCGTGAGAGCATTTAATTAATTTATTTTTTTTATAAAAAAAAAAGTATTTGTTCTTCTTTCTTGTCTCTTTGCCACCATTTCCTCCGCCACACCATCAATCTATCACCACTTCTACACCCGTCTTATTTCTATTATTTTTTCCCCATTTTTTTCATTATCGCTGTCAACACCTCTTTTTGTTTCTTCTCTTTTAAACAAGCTCATCACCTCTCATTAATACTCTTCCTTGATGTATTCTTTCTCCAAAGCAAGAACATTATTTATTTATTTTGGTTAAAACGATAATATATATATGCTACGAAATTACAGAAGAGTTTGCTAGAACATATTCCCTAGAAGTGCTAGTAGTTACAGCAAGGTTGCCAAACTGGGCTAACTTATTACACATAAATGACCTAATTAGTCTAGTAGAGATATCTCCGTTCTTGTCTTTAGCAAGTTGGTCTTTGATATATTCCTGTGGACAGGGGCGGACCTACAGAGGGTCAAGTGGGTTCATATGAAATCACTTCGTTGAAAAATAACACCGTATATATATATATATATATATATATAT